AAGCTTGAAAGAAATATTTATACAACTTCACATGTTGACACTGTGGATAGAGGCAGCAAGACAGTACGACTTCCAGGTGCTCCTAGAAAGGGTTTACAATAATTCATCAGGTGAAGGCATATCCGTTTGTCTCCTCTGGACCTCTGTAAGCAGCTGTAATTCCAGGGCAAGCAAAGTCACTTGTGGTTTCCCAACTTGCCAGGAAACATACAATTGTAAGAATGAGTTACGCTAAATGTTTGGTATTGTGACCCGTGATGCAACACAAAAGAATGGTTGTTGTTGCCTAAACTTTAAGGGAGTTAATCCTTCCAAATGCTGACAAATTACTGCCTCAGGCCATTTAAAATCACATTTCTAATGCAATAATCCTATCTGCATTACAATGAGTTGGGATGAAATGATTAGGTGCCTGAGATTTTTTGCACAGTGAATTAAGTCACCATACAGACTGGCCATGCTTGTTCACAAATTAAAGGTCTGGACAGAAATGAAATTCCATTATTCTGCCACTTGCTAAGCTTTGAGGAAGGCTTCATTACTGTCCTGTCTCTACTGGGAATGTTTCTAAAGTAGCAATGAGCTAACAGGAACCTATTTTTTATTAGATCAGTTTCAGGGCTTTTTCCATTATTAATAATTATTAGCCAAGTCTTTGACTACTGAATACCTCAAAAATAGAAAAGGCTAATCCAACAATATGCATGCAAAAAATTAGATAGTGTCACAGTAAATTTGGCTGGGCCAGGCTTGGGGGGGGGGGGGGGCGGGGAAGGTGGGAACAACCCAAAACTGTAGCCTGAATGCAAGTCCTTCCCTCTTCACAGACACACTGTGCTAAACCAGAATTTACCCAATTTTTATACTCAGATATAGATTTTTTTCACTAGGGGATAGTCCAGAATATAAACCACCTAACAACAATGCTACCCATCTCTAACATTTCAAATAGTATCCTTATTTCATGACCCAATCACAACATGCCCAAGCACCTATTCACGTCTACGCATTCAAATTGCCTCTTAGTTTAAAGGCTGTAATCAGGATTTTTGAAATCCCATACTAACAAATCTACAATCGCCATCTTGAAACTATTAGCATTCCATCTTATTAGCATTCAACTGATTATTTACACACAATATAATTTGATACACATAAATATAGCAATTCTTCAATTAAACAATGATCCTTTTTTGTCAGATGCCTGCAAGGTTAGTATTCCACTGAAGCCAGAAGATATCACAGGCTTGAACTCAAGGCAATCACATTTCAAATTCTGATAAACAGAGAGGGAGTATGACGACATAACTTCTATGCTAGAACTTTGTCTGATGCTCTTCTGAAAATATAGCCTGAGAAAAAGCTTAAAAAAAATTCTCAATATTAGTGGGTTTTGAGACATCTTTATCATGATGCAAATGTTTGATGCTGTAACAAAAACCCCACAAACAACGGCCACCAAACGCTCTAAGATCCTCTCGGTTACAAACTGCAATATGCAACTATAACAACCACCTGTGCTAATCATTTCCCACGGGTGTACTTCACATGGGGGTTACAATAAGATTTAATTTTCATAAAATATAACCCCTTGTATGCACATAATTGCTGTACATCATTAAGTCACATCTGTATCACAAGAGGGGGGAAAAAAGAAACAACAAGCTTTTAGCATTTTTCTTTTTGTAATTGGCAGGGAACCTCGGATTTTAAATGGTTAAAATAAAGTAGCACAACTATAATTATATATTCCTCACCCTTGTGCCACACCAAAAAAAAAAAAAAAAAAAATCCCAAATTTTCACCCTGTTGACATATTAGGAGAGAATGCTTCTATTTAAAACTTAAAGTTCAACACCTTAACACTAACAATGAGCTAGTCAGAAGCAGTTTGCTCTAGGTTAAGTGTGGCTTTTTCTGTATCAAATTAAAAGCTTCAGTATATAGCCTCCTGCATAAAGCCTGGTCTGTTTATGCAGCAATTAAGGGTACTATTACACTTTGCAGATATACACAAACCTTTACATGATTGCACACTGTAGAAAACATCAATGTAGGTTCACATTCGGATAGGTTACTGCAGATTCCACTATCTGCTACTACTAGACACATGTCAAAACACAGATACCCTCATATTCTGCCTGTTCTGCAACACAATACCCAGAGTTATACGCATTTCTAAATAGAGTATAAATGTGAAACAGGTGCCACAGACTATATTTATAATGCTAATGAAATCTCTAGGCTGTCTTCAAGACCACCAACAAAAACCGTATTAAGTCAGCTAGATCTGGCTGACTAGAAGATGACTGATACATTTTAAATGCTCCATTTAATTGCTCTAATAAAGGTGTATCACCAATTAGCTTTGTCCTACTGGGCACCACAGTCTCGAGTTGTGAGATGCTTTGCAAGTTCTGAGGGAATACCCCGAAGCAGGAATGTGATCTGCTGCTTCTTCCACTGAACTCAGTGGGCAGGATCAATTCTACCCCCAGAGAAAACCTACTCCCATAGCAGCAATCAAGAGCAGAGCCCAGAAAAATGCCAGCTACGTTAACAGAGCACGATCGACTCCAGCCTCAACCCAAACCAAAATTCCTCAGACACGTGACAGGTTTCCACATTCTTGAAAAAGACCCTGTGCATCTCCCTCCCGGAGGGCAACCCCAGCGCGTTACTGGGGCACACACTTGCCAAGGCAGCTCACAGGCCCCAGCTGCACTGGCAGAGCCCACACCAACACCCTGCTTTCCCCTAAGCAGACCCTGGTAAGGCTACCCCACGGATGCCAGCAAAAACAAACCTGCGAGATCAGCAGAGCATAGCTGGTCCAAAGAAGTCAGTGGCACCGGCCGCGATACTTGTATCCTGTATCACCTAGACCAAAGCCTCACCGTGCTGGGCAGCATCTGCTGAGGGCTGAAATCACAAGCCCAGAGAATGGTGGTAAATAAACCAGAAGGGAGGGGAGAAAGGATTGCTTCTGCAAATGGTCACAGCCAGATAGCACCCATCTGCAGAAGGGAGCAGTGTGCAAAAGGCTGGAGTACTTCAGAGGGATTGAGCCTGCACGTACTATTATGCTTAGCTAATAGGGCAGAGGGTCACCATAGCCCACAGAGACCACCTCACTTGTGCCTCCTCCCTTCCCCCTAAGTGCACGCACAGGATAGCAATGGTTTAATAAGTGGCACTCCTACACAACTGGAAGGTTTGTAAAGGAGGTGTAAGAAGAAAAAATAACATAGGTAAGGAGGCTAAAAACAGAGAAGTAAGGCTTACTACTGACGTGAATAAGGACTGGCCTGCACAACACCATCAGCTAAACTGTGTGAACGACAGAACAAATAACAATAGGAAAACGAAGGTAACATCGCAGGAAGGCTAGGATGGGCAACGATTACCACTATTACAATAAGAGAAGCCTGCACAAACCTTTACAGGACTGCAAAATCTGACAATTTTTATTTAACACCTCATGAGAGATAGAAACCTTGACGCTTAAGGTTTATCCTTCCTCCACCCCCCAACCTCAGTTATTCTGATGGCCCCCACATCTGTATCAGTAATTTCCCACCTATACCCACAGCCGGTAATCAGTGCCAAATCACAGAGTCTGAAATTTGTGACGATTTTGCCACTTTCCAGGGAATCCACCATGTATTAATATGGTTAAATTGACTATTAATTTTGGTGGGTCCCCCTTTCCCTTTTCATGAATAATTCAGTTAAGCCAGCTCTTGAGACAAGGCAACCACCAGCCCTTGATGCTTTTGTTCAGGAGAGCACCAACTCTCCCTCAAACGGCACATAAATAAAGAATGGAGAGTACAACACAACAGCAATACCAGGGACCCTTTCTCAACAGTCAGCTCTTTCCCATGATACCTCTTTAGCGTAACTACTAATGAAAACTCTTTGAAGTGGAAGAGTAAATATTATCATTTGATAGTACCTGGACCCAAGATGGCAAACAAAATTGCATTGTATTACATTCTGGGAGCTGCAGACCCATTCACAATACAACGCTCACAGGGTTGCTATGGAGGAATCCAATGCTTTCTATTTTGGTAGCACAGGGTCAAGCCAAGGGGTGCTGATCACTCTTAGGGCTTTTGGCCTTAACCTTTAATATGTACAACAAACAGGGAAAACAAAAAAGAAATGCCAAACCAAACAAAATCAAGGAATTTCAGAGTATGCCTTTGGAGGTACCAGATTCCCCAAGAGAGGACGAAAGCAGACTTCCAACTCTATCCATGGTCAGTCGGCTCTTAAAACCTGAGGCCAGAATTTCAGAAATGCTTGCATGCTCTTTAGGCGTGGGATTATTCAACCCAACACTCAGGGTTCAGCAGATCAATTATTTTTAAGTCTTCTTCTTAAAAAAGAAAAAAAAAATGTAAAATCTAGCACTTCTTTGCAAGAGAGAAGCATCACCAAGTTGTCCTTGTGCTAGTGACACCCAGGAGAGCTGGGTTCGATGCCATGGTCTGCCACAGCCTCCCTGGGTGACCTTTGGGCTCACACAGCATTTCAATGCCTCATCTGAACCTGGAGCTACAGGAGGGCCTTCCCTGCACCTGGCCCAGCAGCAGAACTACAAACCACGGGCACCAGACCATATGCACCTTACCGCTGAGTTGGCTGCCAAGTCTCCGGATATTTTGGAAATCCATCCCGTAGGGATCAGAGACAGCAAAAGGGGAAGGGATCAATGACCCATCTGACTGTCACACATGCCCCCCGAATCCTGGGAACCCTCCGGAGATTAGAGGCACCCTGCTCCCCACGAAGCAGGAGTGGGGGGTGGGAAAAGGGACTAAGATCAAGAAGGGGAGTACCCAAGTGAACGCTAAAACCCTCAGCGGTGACACCGGGCAGAGGGGAGCCGAGGTGGCCGGCAGCCCCACCGGCCGTGGAAAGGGGGGGGGGGGGTTCGCTCCCAGGCGGCTGCGGAGCCCGGGCGGCACACGGGTCCCCCCCGCCCCGCTCACCTTGCTGCTGACGGGCCCGGGGATGAGGAGCTTCAGCGCCTGCCTCTTCAGCTCCGCCAGCCGGGCGTTGCAGTGCTCGCACCAGGCGCCGCGGTCCGAGCCCGGCGAGGAGCCGCCGCCGCTGCCGGAGCCAGGCGAGCCGGTGCCGAAACCCGGCGAGCCGCCCAACGAGCCGGGGGAGCTGGTGCCGATGCCGGGCGAGGCGGGTCCCGGCGAACCGGTGAAGGAGCCCGGCGAGGAGGTGCCGGAGCCGGGAGACGGGGTGCCGGAGGAGCCCAGGGCAGAGCCGGCTCCCTCCGGCGCGGGGCGACTCCCCGCCCGGGACTCCTCGTACGCCTTCCGGTACCAGCTCTCGGGGGAGAAGGGGGCGGCGGGCTTGGTGGGGGAGCAGGGGTCGGTCACCTGGAGCGGGAGAAGGAGCAGCGGGTCAGGCAGGGAGGCCCGGCGGCGCCAGCAAGTTTCGCTCGGACGCTCCGCGCCCGCGGCGGCCCCCGCGCCTCGCCCGCCCCCGCGGGAAGCCCACGGCGGCCGCCGCCGCTCCGCAACCGCGGGAGTTGAGCGGAGCCGGGCGGGAGGCGAGAGCCGGCAACCCGCGGGCGAGGGGCGCGGGAGCCCCCGGCGCGGCGGCGGTCACCGCTCCGAGCCGCACCCTCCGCCCGCAACTTACCCCGTATTTTCTGCTCCGCGCCGTGACGGCGAGCCGCTCCTTATTTCCAGCCACGGAATTCATGGTGGCTTCGCAGCGCGGCGGGAGAAGCGCCCGCGGGTTTCGCACTCCGCATCCGCGGGGAGCGGCCGGTGCCGGGGAGGCCGGCGCGGAGCGGGCGGGCTGCGCCCTCCGCCGCGATCGCTCAGCCCCAAAAGCGCCGTCAGTTCTCGAGAAGAGGCTTGGGACTGAGGTTTTCCCCCGGTCGGTTTTTCCTCATTGTCTTCTTCCCCCTTCGTTCCCTCACAACCCCTGTTTTCGCACAGACAGCAACATCCAGAGCGGGAGCGTTCCCCCCGGCAGGCAGCACGGCTCTCCGCAAGCCAGGCGAAGCATCCGAGGGAGCTTTAGGAAGGGGGAGCGGCAGCCGCTCTCGCCTGGCAGAGGCGCTTTCTGCCTCCGCTACAGCGGCAACTTGTTTCTTTCACCGAGGTTTGTAACTGAGTTAAGAGAAAACCTCCAAAAATACCAGGAGCCAGGCTCTGGGAGGAGCCTCCGCGTCCCTTACAGCCAATATCCTCCTGCCCACTTGGGCCTGACAGTTTTGCAAGAGAAGAGGAGACGAGAAGGGAAAGGCCAGCAAGGGAAGGGGAGGGGAGGGGGGCAGAGCCGCTCTGCGGAGCCCGGTGCGCTCCCCGGTCAGCGGCGGAGCGGCGGGGCCGGCGGCCCCGGGGGCGGTGGGCAGGCTGCCGGAGCCCCGCCGCGGGTCTGCGCCGTGCCTCGCCTGCCAGGAGGGTCCATTTTATTTTGCAGTATTTCCTGATTGACGTCTGTGTTTTCCCCCCTCTTCTTGAAAAGGAGGAGGGGGAGAGGGGAGGGGGGCGGGAAACCTTGTTGCTTCCACCGCAGTTATTGGTGAGTTGCCTCTATTCAGGGTTTTAATGAACGTGATTTCACAAGTGTTCCCAATCCTCCCTAAATAACTAGGAAAGAAAAGCAAGCTGTGTCTATGTCAGTCATTGGCATCTCTTTCCCGTGTTGTAATTTTACGTGTATTAGTTTAACTTGGAATCAAGGGCATAATAAATTGATCTCTTAACAATGAAATTCTACAGGCTTGTGTCCCTATTAATCTTTCCCTTCTAATTATGATTTCTTCTTGCGGGTCCTCTGTATCTGGTTACAATACTTCTTTTATTTCAAATCCTGCAGATAGCACAATCATCTCTAATGAATCTTCCTCCTCCGAACAAGTTGCTGATTTTCTCAGAAATAGATGCAATAAAGAGCTAAATGCCGGATCCCCTGATAGGGTCATAGCATGGATGAGTTGATACAATTGAGGGGGCAGAACGCACAGGGGGCTTGCATCCACCTTTCCAACCTCCTATTGTTACCTCCATATAAATGCATCCTTCCAGCATCCCTAATGTACCTGGGCTGCAGCCGCGGTGAAGAAACAAAACCAGCCCACCACATCACTGAGCAAGGGATCTCCCAGGGCTCTTCTGTTTTCACAGACACCCTGCTAGTAGTGAAGATGTGTAAAATGCTCTGCTGTGGTTCAACTTCGCTAGGTTATCACCCTTTTGAGCAGACCAGCCCTTCCCCATGTGGTTATTCCCACAGCCCACACAAGCGCTGCCACCCAAGGCTCGCGTCAGAGGCGCCGCACGCGTTCGCGTGGGTGCTTCCAAAGCGCTGACCCAACCGGGCAGGCAACGGAGGCGCTCCCTAGCTCCCGCTGCGCGGGAATGGGTTTCACGCAGATCCGCACACAGAGGTCCCGTGGTTTGTGGACAGACTTCACAAGGGACGACGGCAAGGTAAAGCGGGGAAAACGCCGCGCAAGCCTACGGCGCGCGCAGGGCAGGCACACGCCGTAGGCCCCAGGACACCGACCGTGAGCAGCCGCGTGCCATTAACACCGCGGTGTGTAACTGCTCGTTTTCTGGGCTCAGCGATGCCGGTGGCGAACCGGCAGATCGGCTTTGCTTTCCGGCAGACCTCTGATGACCCAAGCCGCCAGCTACACGCCCGCCTAACCGCATCCGCTCCCCGTGATCAGCGCCCTGTGCGCAGCGGCGCGCCTGCCTCGGGAGACGGCGGCTACCCCGCGGGCCTGGGGCTGGCCGGGACAGCTTGCAGAACGGGGCCCGGGCGGGCCCGGGAGGCCGGAGCTCTGCCAGCGCCGCCGCCCCCCGCTTCCCCCGCAGACCCGCGGGCAGCGCGCGGGAGCCGCTGAGGGGGCAGGCAGGGTCGGCGAGGCGGCGCCTCACCGCGGGCTGGGGGAGCGCGGGGAACAGGACGGCGTTCAAGGGCCGGGCAGCGGAGGGAAGGGACCGCGCTCCTCCCCAGCCCCCGCCGCGGGTTGCGGCACCCGAGCCCCCAGAGCCGCCGCCGGTTCCCCGCCGCGGGGCGAGCAGCGGGGCGGGGCGGGGCGGGACGCCGCCCGGCCGCCGGCGGGGCTGAGGGGAGGTGGCGGCCGGGCGGGGCGGGGCGGGGCGGGGCGGGGCGGGGCGGGGCGCGCGGGCCGGCCGCGTTGGCGGGCGGCGGGCGCCCTCTGGCGGCGGCGAGCGGCGGGGACTGTTGGGCGGTGGCGGCGGCCGTCGGTGCCCGGCGGCTTTGGGGGCGGTTTTGGGGGGCGGGACGGGGAAGGAGGCGGCCGCTGGAGAGGGTGGGAGATGGTGCCTGCCCCGCTGCTGCCGCGGGGGGTCAGAACCTTAGCGGTGTGCCGGGCCGTGCCGTCCTCCCCTAGAGAGCCGGGCCTGTGGCGGGCTGCCTGCTCGCAGCCAGCTCCTGCCCCTCCTGGCATCGCTTCCCTTCGGCCCTGCCTTGCGGCCCGGCTGGGAGGGGGCTCCGGCAGTGGCCCGGGAGAGCTGGGCTCCTACCCAGGGCTTCGGGAGGCACTGGCAGCCCCGGGGTCTGCCGGCAGCGCGGCTGGGGGGGGGCGGGGGGGTGTGATCTCCGGCAAAGGGCCATTGGGGCAGGTGGAGTAGCCCAGCGGAAAAAATCGGATCCCACCAAGAAGGCAGGGTCTTGAGGAGGGTGTCCGTGGCTTTTTCAGTCCTTAGCTGATGGCTAGGTTTGGTTTGAGGTGAAGCAGGGTCATGACTGGTGAGGAGGAACACCTCCAGTGAGGAAATGAGGAGCTCGGGACATGGTAAAATTGTTGTTTGAGCCCAAAGAGCCTCAGTAGCAAATTTCCGTTTTCTCACCTCTCAGGTTTGGGGAACTGTTAAGAAAGTGGCATTGGGAGAGTTCTTGCAACTTGCAGCTTTGCATGACTTTACTGGGCAAGCCTGGGCCATGCCTCTGTTGCTGTTGGATCAGCTCTCCCTCCTGACAACTGTCAGTATACACTGACATTTTGGGTCATTCAAGAAAGGCTTTATTGAATTGTGAACAATTTTTTTGGAAGCTGAGATATTCCAAACTCTCCAGTTTTAGGTACTTTGCTGCTAAAATCTTTCCAGCTCTTGCTATTTTGTGCTGGCCGAAGTATAGGACACTATGGTATCACTCCAGCAAGAAGCTCTGCTAGAAACCTTTTCTCTGCGTTAACACCCTCTTCTCTGAGCAGGATCGAGGTATGGCTTTCTCCCTCTCCTTAGGCTCCCTTGTGTGGAAGTTGATAAGGTTTCCACTTACAACCCTTCCTGCTCCGTGTGTCACTAAGGAAAGATGATTAGTGAGCAGAACCACCAACGTGCCAATGACAGGCAGCTCCACAGCTACCTCTCTGTTTCAAGTTTACACATTGCTGCTACTATCATAACATGGGAATCTGCCTTAACCTTGGTCCTCGCAAATCACTTATTCTAGCAGTTCACAAGTTAGACTAACTGTTGTTCTTAATTCCAGGCATACCTGAAAAAAAAGGGGCTGTTCAGACATTTCTAAGTAAGTGGCCAGGAGCCAAAGCCTTGGATGCAGGCTTAAGTACCAGAGGTTCAGGCAAAAGCTGGTCTCAAAGTATTGAGGAGGGACTTTGATCTCAATCTAGATGTCGCACCTCTATGGACTGTTGTGACCTGTGCTTTAGCTAGTATACAAAACCCCGGTTTCTCCATCACACTGCAGTGTGTTTGCAGAGGTGTACTATCACTCAGCTGCTTTCAGTGGGTTTCTTCTGAGTATATCTCAGTGTGGGTGCAATTGAATCTGACCTAGAAGTTCAGCTTCATCACACAAATCTGAGATGCTGGACAAGCCCAGTTCCACCACTAAACAGCAGTTTATGAGAGCTGGAAATGTTCGTTGCATCAAAGAAATCCTTTCAGGTATTGTTGTGGTTTAGGCCTGGTTGTCAGCCAACCACAATGCAGCAGCTCTCTCTCCCTTCCCCTCCAGCAATGAGAAGGGACAGAGAGCCAGGCTTGGGGTTTGAGATAGGACTGGGATGGGGAAAAATTTCCCCTTTATGATCACAAGCAAGAGGCAGACTCGTTAGGGGAAGAAAAAAAAGAACATACATTTTTTACAGACACTAACAACACATAACAGAGTAGGACAGTGAGAAGCATTGCCACATCTTGAGAACACCTTCCCCCCACCCCTCCCTTCTTCCTGGGCTCAGCTCTGCTCCCGATATCTCTACCTCCTCCCCCAGTGGCGCAGGGGCAGGGAATGGGGGGTGCAGTCAGCGCTGCCACTTCCTTCATGTTCGGTGAGGGGAGTGTCCGGAACTTGTTCCTCCTGCTCCATTGTGGTCCCCCTCTCACAGGAGACAGTCCTCCACAAACTTTCTCCAACATGAATTCCTCCCATGGGCCGCAGCGTTCCCCACACTGCTCCGTCATGGGTCACTGACTTCCTCCGACTGGATTCCCTCCCACGGCTGCAGCCCTTCCTGAGCTGCTCCGGCGTGGGACTCCCCCGCATGCTGCAATCCTCCCAGCACTGAATTACAGCAACGGGGATACCTTTTCCCATGAGACCCCAGCCTTCTTCGGGCACAGAACCTTGATCAGCTGAGCAGGAGCCACAGGCCATAAATCAATGTCTGCTTCACCGTAGATCTTCATGGGTGGCGGGGGGGGCGCCCTGCCGTCTCACCACAGGATACAGGGGGGTCTCTGCTCCGGCACACCTCCCCCTCCTTTCTTCCTCCGTTCCTCCACTGACCTTGGTGTTCACGCAGCTGCAGCAACTCCTCCTCACAAGTCCCACTGCTCGTCACCACGTCCCTTCTTAAATACGTTATCGCAGAGGCGCAGCCGATTGGCTCAATTTCCCAAACAGAAGTGGAGCTGACTTGGAGCTGGGGGAGCTTCGAGAAGCTTCTCACAGGGGGCCGCCCCGATAGTCCCCTCCCCTGCCACCAAAAAACTCCACCACTCACTCAACCCAGGACAGGTATTCATATTTATAATAGATCTCAGGATAAAAAAGGTGACAGCAACTGTAACTTGAAGAGTCATCACTGCCTGCACAGAAGCTTTGTTTCCAAGTTTGTTGCTAGTAAGTCTCAGTATCGGGTCTTACAATTTTAAAAAGCTTCCTTGGGGGGATTTGAAATGCATGACAGCTCCGATACTTGCTTAAAGCTGCATATTAATGAGCTGGATTCCGTTGGGGGACAGGGAGGAAATTGAAGGCATTTGTAGCAATAGTGACAAAGAATTAATTGTAAAGGTAGAAATAGCTAATTATTAAGAACTACAAATAAAATCGCCAGAACTTTCCCAGTTTGATATATTTCTTTTCTAAACTGATTCCACTTCTTGTTCTCATCCCCTCGCCAAAGTATAGGATCATTTCAGCAAAATGCTCTAGCACATTAAGTCTCTT